TTTAATAATATATATTATATATTATGTTATACTTATAATATAGATAAAGGTAATTTTTAATAATAAGTATTATGTCATTATAGTTTAATGTGTCATTATATGATAAATTTTCTTTTATAATAACTTGTGATAAAGCTAACAACGCCATTAATTAATATATTGGTTGTCTTCAAAGTAAATAAGTACCGTGATTTTCATGATTTAACATCTTAAAAAAAGGAAGCATGGAAATTAATCGATAAGTTACATTAAATTATTTTTGTTTGAATTACATGTAGTTAAATGAGTTTATATTTAAGTTTAGTATGAAGTCATGACAAAAGACATTACTTTATTCTTATAGATATCAAGTTGATCATAATTAACGAAATATATCTTTCAGAATTGTTCATGGATTGAATTTTTTTAAAAGTGTTTAAACCAAACTATCCATTTTAAAAATGAATTAATTAACTAAACTATTTTTTATAAAGTAAATCTGTACGACTTTTTTAAAAAGTTAATCAAATTTTTTTTAAGTAGAATTGGTTCAATGCAGTTTGTAACTATCCATAATCATAGATGGATCAGTTTTTTTCTTAAAAAAAATGAAACAAATCAATCCATTTTGTAAAAGTAAATTTGTTAATCAAACCAGTTTTGCAAAGCAAGTCGATTTGATTTTTTTTTTCTTAAAATAAAATTGGTTTTAAACTTCGGATTTAAATATTTTGCACACTCCTAATATCTCCTTGTTTAAAAAAAAAATCTTATTTATAAATTTTATTTTGAATCTTTTGGCACAGCCCAATTTTCCTTTGTCCAAAAATTACTGCATCTCTTTGGGCACTAGTAATCATGGTTTGAATAGCTACTGCTTCCTAAGGATATGTTCAAACTTTTGGTTGGTAGGTCTAAAGGGCACAACGGATTTTATGGAACTATATACTAAAGTTACTCTTGAACTCCATAAAAATCATTATCTTCGTTGACCCGAAACATTATTTTTTTCGCCAATGAATCTAAAGTCGCTATAATTTTCTTTTATAAGCCTAAAGTCGTTATAATTAAATCCCTCTCCCTTTGTTAGAGACCTGTGCGTGGATAATAGTAGTCAATTGTAAAATTAAGGAACCTGTTTGGCTGTGAGAACTAGCTAGCCTAACTATCTAGGTTTCACTTTTGCACAGTAGAAAAATTGAGTTGCCAAATTTTCATGATCGAGTAGATTAGGGGTTGTCATTTTCAAAATGAAATCAACTTTATGCTTGATACTATCCCCAAAAAGGAAATTATGCATATTTTTCGAATGGGTATCGTATGTTGTTCTAGGTTTACTAGTGGATCCTTATATTTTACTTTTGTCTTTTGGCTTTTGATGATATCGTATTCGTATGTTGTTCTAGCCTTATAGGTTTATTGTTAAATTATGCGTGTTTGGTTTACCAAAAACGAAATAGTCAAAAAAAAAAAAACGAAAAAAAAAACGAAATACTTGGTAGTACAAAACCTTTGCTCCATTTTTAAGTTTAACAATAGTCATGAAATAGAATAAAAATCAATGCAGAACAAAAATATGAAAGTTGTTATTCAATACCCAACATTAATTTAGGGTTTTGAGAGATATTGAAAATTTGAGTGTAAACTCGTGGAGTGGCTCCGACACTAACCACAAATATCATGGGCGTGAGGACAATCAACAAGAATATAGTTGAAATGGATTAGCGAGACAAAATGATCACAATAAATAGTAAAACCTGTACAAATCAATTATGCTATGGAGTTAAGGCACTCAACAAGGAGAATATTAGTTTTTCTACCACCTTCACTTTCAAACAAAATTATAACGCTCCCTTAGAACTTAATCTTCCTTTTACTAATATAGGACAAGACCTTATTGGTTTTATAATCATTATAATTAATTAGGGTTAAATATGTTTTAAGCTGTCAAATATGTTTCTGTTTGGTTTTGAATTTAGTCATTATATTTTATTTATTTATTTTAGATCTCTAACATTTTTAAAAATATTCTTACTATTAATTATTTCTAATCAGTTTAGTATTGACACGAATGAAAAAATAAATACTATTAACTAACATATTGAAATTTTTTTAAACTATGATAATTAAATTATTTTTAGGTATGTAATTCAATTAAATAATATATTTATTATTTTATATAAATAAGGTGATTATATGCAACATCCCTCATCATAATTGTCTTAACCATTGCACTCTATGTATGACACTATATAATAACATTTCACTCAACTCTTTGTTTGTTAGAATCCTTTACTAGTTAGAACCCTTTATTGGTCAAACCCCCCATGGATATCCATTTATGAGATGTTTGATACCTATTAAGATCAACGGCTATTTTCACAAAGCAATCTAAAATTTTTTAGTGTTTTGTCCTCGCTTAGATACTTTTTGGAAAAATTTTCAAAAAGTCACTTCTTCCTAAATCAATCAAAGTTAAGCACACTTAACTTTAAAGTTCTTAAGTTTGACGAGTTACAAAAAAGTATATGCATCTTATTTGTATATGTAATATTAATTAATTCTTACAAAATGTCATCCTCAACTATATAATATTTGTAACATCCCACTTTTTTCAAATAAATTAATAAAAGATTTTCTAATTAATTAATTGAGGTATAAAATATTCTAAGTGATTTCATTAGATAATATTTGGTAACTATCATTTTATATTCAAATATGTGAGGATAATTAGTTGGATTTTTTTATTAACGAGATATGCATGCGGGAGGGAGTTAGGATTTTGTTTAAATACATTAGTAGTGCTAGGTCTACCTCACATGTGATTTGACCATACTTTGTAATTTGAAGAGGGAGGCAAACTAGAGGTAGTCAGAGAGGAACTTGAAGATCAGAATCTTAGAGTTAGCGTCAATTAAGGTAAGGAGGGAAGTGAGAACATCGCTCCGGAGTGTAGAATAATTATTGGGTAGTAGGATTGACCTTCAATCCTTAGGTTATATGTGTATGTATGTGGGTGGGGGATTGAACCCAAACATGTTAGAAAAGAATGGCTCAATCTAAGAGGGGGGCGAATTGAATTCTATGACACTTTAAAAATTTTCAGAGTTATTAGGATCTTTATTTCAATTCAAACTTTTCTAATAAGAATTTTCAAAGAAGTTCCCTAAAAGACTTGTTAATGAAAATGAGTCCTATATGCTTTCTTGATTAATCTTTAATAAACTTCAAAGTTAAGAGCAATCAATATGCAACACTTTGATTCAGTTTAAGGCAATGTTGTACATACAAACATGTTAATCAAGATTATTCTTTTTAACACACAACCAAGATATTACTCAAAGTAAAAGATAAGGGTAAGAGAAGATTGCACAAGTCTTTTATCCTGGTTCAGCCACTCCACATGTGACCTACATCCAGTCCTCGATCATAACCTGATCAAGATTTATTCCACTATCTCAATGAAGAAGTTTTACAAGCATACAACCCATGCATACACTCCTACATTCAAGATAACCACTTTCTTGACCCCAAGAAAGCATCTCTTGTAGAAACCCACTACAAGAACTCCTTACCACTTGAATCACCTACTTAAGATTTACAATTAATCACAAAGAATTAAAGGAACAAATTCACCTAGAAGCTGAACAAATCAGACTGTGAATTCAGAAGCAAATCTCAATCTTTCTCTTCCAAGAATGTGATGATGATGATGATCTTTTCTGAAAGCATTTCAAAAACATTTTACTTCTTGGTTTCACAAAGAAAACACTCCAAGAAGGTCACAAAGACTTCACAATGACATTTTTCTCTTTTTCAATGTTAACTCATTCACTGTTCTATCTTGTTCTGAAGTTTCAAAATGTGAAAACTATTTATAACATTTTCAGAACCAGATAATCGATTATTTTAAAGGATAATCGATTATTTTGTTCTTCATGATTTTTGGAAATCAACCAAGAATAGATTAATCGATTATTTTACAAGATAATCGATTATTCCAGAGAGTGATTCCTGGGATAATCAATTATTTCACAAATAATTGATTATTACAACAAGGCATCCTTTTCACCTGTTGCTGGAATAATCGATTATATTTAATGATAATCGATTATTTTGAGTCAGTTTTCAAAAACTCTATTTTATGTCTCAAAATAACTTTTCAAGTTTCTAACTCATCATCATACTCACTCTTAGTCAGATTAGATAAAGATTAACCCATGCACAAAGCACACACATGCAAAATAAGCTCAACAAAACACTACAACTTATGAGCTACTCCTATTACATATCATAATAGCCATATTTTCTTCTTGACTTTGTTTTTGACTTGTTGATGTCCGTGGTCAGCTTTGATTCTTAGAATCCACACTTTGTTATCATCAAAACCTTCATTCTCCAAGTTTGAGTTGATTCACCACTCCATGAATCTCAACAAAACATAGTGTAATTTATTGTTTAATTATGTTATGAATATGGTATAAACGGGTATTGATGTGGAAATTATAAAACTTGTATGCGATCATGAATCTATTAGTATTTGTGGGTTCCCAAAGGAACCTTAAGAATGTATCTAAAACCTTGATTAAGAGTGAATTTGTAATAATTGCAAATTGCATGACTAAAACGAGGATTAATTACACTATAGGAACCCCCTTTAACAGGTTAAAATTGTAAAATTGTAGGAGCATTATATTTGAAAAATCACAAATTTTCAAAACTTATTTATTGATACCACCACTAGTACATAAAGGGTCTTTTACGTCGTGTATTTTGACCCTTTTACGTCGGAAAAGAGTCTGATGTTAATACGGGAGTCGTAAATTTACGTCGCCTCTGAAAGACGACGTAAATTTACGTCGGGGATTTTTCCAGACCGACGTAAAAAGGGGCAAAATCATGCCGCAATTTTACATCGGACGTGGCGTTGTCCAACGTAAATTTACGCCGGTCATTGCAATGACTGACGTAAATTTACGTCGGACAAGGCCACGTTCGACGTAAATTGTGGCAGGTTTTTTTTAAAAAACGTTTGTAAATTGATATACCCAACACCTGCATATAAATATAATCCAGAATACCAAATCTAAACCAGGCAGTCCAGAATAGAAATTCAAATTGTATTTCAAAATTGAATGACAAAAAGAAAATAATATATAAATCTTAAAAAACATAAATTATGACAATGTAAATCCTATTATCCTAAAAAAGCTATAAAACATGTTTGTCAATGCTATCTAACTAACTAAACTAACTAACTATCAAACTATTAACATAATATCTAACTAACTAAACTTAGAAAAAAAGTTGCCCATTGTTCTCTTATCTTGAGCATCTCATCTTCGGGCAATGGAGATGGATCTTGAAAGACCTGAAAGGGTAATTTAAGTGTCATTAATATGCAATGTTAATTATTCTAAAGGTAAATATAGTTAAATAAATTTTGATATGAATTACCTGCGCCCAAGAATCAATAATACCCGCAGAAACTATGGCTTTCATCCAATACATGATGTAATAGCCACATTCAAACGAGTCTTGTTGCTTATTACACTAAAATGAGAAACAAATAACTATTAATTCCAAAGTCAATAAATTTAAATATTATTGACTGTATGAATTAATTTGCTAACCTTAGGGTATATGAAATGCAATGACTTTGATGATCTGGCTCTTCCACTTAATATATTAGCTCCAGACACGATTCTAATTAATTGAAATAAAAATAAATGTTAGCCAATATATATAATTACAGTGTTAAAACATAATGAAAAAATTTAGTTACCCATGTAATTGGCTTTTAATTTCCTGGCTTGGTTTTCGATGAAGTGAACAAAACCACACCACGGTATATTCCTTAGGAATGATTACCATTAACTGCCAATGAGACCTACATTGTATGACAAACAAATCAGTTAAAAAATTACCATGATTAAAAAATCAATTAAAAAACTAACCCGTCAATGTATGGAGCCATGTATATATGTCTTCTTGAGTCACTCATCCATGTTTGCATATATTGTTGGATCTGGACCTGAGTGTTTCCTGATTTTTGGATGGATTGAGGCTCAATAAATCCATATACTTCTGCTTGTGCTTGCTCCACACTCAATTTGTCCATGTACCTAACACAAATAATTATTATAAGTTAAATGTAATTATTGTAAATTTAGACTCATAAAAGAAAATATGACTTACATGGCCCACAACTGTATGACAGATATATTTAACATGCAGTTTCCCCCAACAATCTCTAATGCATCAGGCAGAGATATGTATAGTGGAACATCAGAGCTATCAACTCCAAAAACTCTAATGTCCCACTGCAATTGAATTGGATGCTTCTTTATTCGTGGTAATTTGATTAGAAGCTTAGATATGGGATCATCCTCAGCTTCTGCGATATTGGCATCATGAACATGAGGTTCTCTCATGACCTCCTTACCACGATTGATAAAATCCTAAAGAAATAATCAAAATTAGTTAAACAATAATAGAATTATAAGAATCTAAAAGAGCAATAATATAATTACCTTTGCCCGTGCTGAAAGCGGCATGACCAAACATTTTGGCCAAGCTAAGAATGTGTCGGTTGCCTGCCCCACTAGTTGAACCTCTGTATTGGGCAAAGGCACTGGAGCAGCAGCATCTTGAACTTGGTCAACCACAACCCGTGTCCAGTCTGGCTGTAGAGGGACACCATGGATGGTTGAGCCACCCTCAAATACTCGGCCAATAGCCACTAACCGTGGGGGGTCATCCTCAACATATAACTCACACTGGTTTGGTACATCAGTGTGAGTCTGATCCGGTGAGGGATCTGGAGCAGCACAACTCCCTTTAGTGCTGACTCGAACACCATCATGAGCAACTGCAGTCTGTTGCTGAGAACGAGCCAAAAGTTCAAACTTCTGTTCAAACTGTTTTTCAATATTCTTCAGTTTCTCTTCAAACTGCATCTCCAATCTCTGCTCCAATTCCTGTATAACCTCTTGACTGCAAGAGTTGACAGTGCTCCTCGATGATCGGCCACCAAAGAAATCTCGGTGGCTCCAAGAACCACCAACACCACGCACACGACCTCCGTGCTCTGGCTTTCCTATGGCCGTTGTGAGGATATCATTCCGACCATCGGAAACAAATGAGCCCTGGGTGCTCTGCTCAACTAAACCCTCCTGCAACAATAAGGAAGATTAAAAAATCTTATGAATTAAATGAGTTGAAATGAAGAGTCTTAGTTTGTATATTTTTACTTACTATTTTATTAGCAACGACTCTTGCAGACTCAGAAGTCATTTGCCCATCTGGTTTTGTCCGGGCTGCTATCCACATCTCATGGCGGGGAGGTGACTCCACACGGTCAGCATCCTCAACCCCTGTTGCCTGTGCCTTAGCCTTCTTCATTTGCTTTTTTTTTCTTTCATATCCCCCTCTTGACAATAGATGGGGTGCATCATTCTTGGCTTGTCGTTCTTGGGCAGCTATTCTTTTAGCCTGCAATAATACAAAAAAAAAAATGAGATAAATTAAAATATACCTTAAGTATTTGTGTCAATGTAAAAGTTATCAATAACTAACCTGCCACGAAGGGTCCAATCGAGTGGCACAAAATTGCATCCACTCCTCATCAGTGATCTGGTACTTTAGACAGGGAGTCTCATTTTGGCGCTCTCCAAATACATACTCCCGTGTCAAGAAAGTCTTGAAGTCTCTCCACCTGCTGGCAAGGGCAGATAACATCTTCCTCCTCATGCCCTCAGTGTTGGGAATGTCAAAATTTTGCTATGAAAATAACAACAAATAATAAATAATGTATTTAAGTTATATAATATTGAAAGGATGTGAAAGTATATACCTGAATATCCTGCCACATGAGGTTCTTGTCAACCTCCTGAACGTCATCCCATGATGGAATGATAATAGAAACATGTCGTCGAGCTAGGACTCCCAAATAGCTCTTAAACTTGGCAGCATTTGGGCCTGATGCCTTGCCAGAACGAGGATCCACCTCAACCGGTGTCCTCTCCTTGGCAATGCGCCCAGCTGTCAACCCAGACAATCGAGTGACAGATCTACCTTCCCTCCTTCCACTGCCAGACCCAGAATCCTCCATAATCCTGAAAAAATTAAACTGTCATTATTAAAACAATGAATTAATTGAATAGACAAATAAAGTAAAAAAGATAATAACAATATAGCAACAAAATAACTAATAAAATAACAATTTGTGTTCGATTCATTATCTATATATTAACACAAATTAACTATTGACTCAGTTATTCATAAATTTTCTAACCTAAACTACAACCCTAAAAAATCGATGGTAAACTAAAGGTCAATGCCTAAAAAAGTCTCTTCTTTAATGCATCTGGAACGGCCCGTACTGAAACTAGAACAGGCCATTCCAGATCAACAAATTACAACAACAAAAATTCCAGCAGAACGGCCCGTTCTGCAAGGAGAACGGCCCGTTCTCCTTGCAGAACGGGCCGTTCCAGGGGAACAAATAGCAAAAAAAGAACAAAAAAATTATGGGGACAACAAACTAACCTCAAACGACCAACGTGCTGACACTTGAGACTTGGATACGTTGAATGTAGCAGTAAACGCAGTGGGAGACTCAGAAATTCAGAGAAAATGAGAGGGGTTGCTTGTAAATTGTGAGCGCGGGAATGGAAAATGAATATCGGGCCATTTTTTACGTCGGATTGTGTTGCTTCGACGTAAATTTACGTCGGACTGGAGGGGGCCCGACGTAAATTTACGTCGGACTAGTGGGGCCCGACGTAAATTTACGTCGGACTATGAGACTCCGACGTTAATTCCGACATTTACGTCGGACTGGGGGAAGTCCGACGTAAATTAGTCTCCACTTATTTACGAAACTGCCACCGCGTTTTTACAACGTCAGTGTTTAGTGTTTGCGACGTAAATTGGGTGACGTAAATACCCTTTTTTGCACTAGTGCACGTCAAGTGATGGCTTGGGCTCGTCGGGCGTGGGTAACACAGAATATTTTCGGCCTCATTGTTATATCCTCTCTACACTCGATGAGATGCATCCATAGGACTTCTAGAGCCCTCGCGTTTAGCATGACTGTATACTAAGAACAACATCTAGATCCCCTTCATTCTAGTGGATTCTAGATATTACACCTCATGAATTGTTTCTATAATTTATTTTAAATTTTCATACATTATAAATAGTGATTTTTCTTTCTTATAATATTTTTCTTCGCTAATTTACTTTTAAAAATCATTTTTTAATAAAAAAATTTATAAATAACTTAGACATTATAATTTACTTTTAATATATTATTTTTATCATTGGAGACAAAATATTATTTTCATTAAAAAATATATTATATTACAATAAGAAAAAATTAATGAATTAATGTAATACCCCACGTTTCATAAAAATATAATATAAGTATTTTAATAATTGTGATATTTTTTATTTTATTAATAGGAGATGTTAAATATTTGTTTTAATTATGTAATATATTTTAGAATATATTATATGATATTTTATTAAATAATAGTATAGTATTTTATTAAAGGGTTAAAGGGAGGTTATAATTTTTAAAAGAGGAATTTTCTAATCAAACCCTTTTTACACCTCTATTTGCATGTACACACTTCAGAGCCTGGAGAATGGGAGTGAGAAGGAAATCACCTCGGGGTCGTGCACCCGTAATCTAGAGCCTATCCAGGTAAGGGAGAGTGAAAAATCTCACTCTGGTGTGGGTTTATATGTTAGATAGTAGGATTGGCCACAATCCTATGTATGTTGTATGCCTATGTACGAGGAATTTCCCCTAATATTTCTGTTTTGTTCCTTGTTCTTCTCACTCATAATTAATTACATGAATTGTTTGAATGGATGATTAATTTCAAGTGTTTGGATGGAAAATTGTATGATTTGAGATCCCTATGAGTTCTTGTAGGAAAAGCTAGGGGAACTTGTTGTGATGATAATGAAAGGATAGTAGTTGTATGTGTGAATTGGATGATATTGGGAGTTAATTTACTTGTTATAGAACACATTTACTGATTGAATGATACGTTTTGGTGAATTGATGCATGATTCAAAATTATGCTTTCTACCCTATGCATTTTCTAATACGTCGTTGGGTGCCATTTTGGGCACGTTAAGCATCGTCGATATCGAGAGAAAAGTTTTCTCTTAGGGTGTCTCACGTCAGGCATGGGATGATCCTCACCGGGTATGGAAGCTCTAGGGGTTTCCTCTGACGCTTTGTTAGGTGTCAGCTAACTCTCACCAGACGTGGACACTCCAAAGAGCTCTCGATGGTGTCCTCGTTGAGCATGGACTCGGTCACACCAAATGCGATTCAAACAGAGACTAATGTGGTCCTGTAGAGTTTCACACCGAGCACGGAACATGTGTCGTTGGTCACCATCCTGCCTATGAATTCCCCGTTGATCTTCTACTAAATTCAATGATGTAATTCCTGTATTTAATGTGGAATACACCACCAGGGAAGGTCCCTTGTGTAAAAGCTTGGTAACCAACCTTGGGGATAACTCAATTTGGAAATTTTAGTCCTACCCTCATAAGCATGAGATGTATCTTGCGCGACTTAGCTATCCTAACTAGACCCTAGTAGTATGTCCTTATAATGAGAGTGTGTAGAAGGTGTGACCCGATATATACTCCTAGACTACTCTAGTGTGTTGCTAGTGACAATGCACAAATGTGATATTTTTACTAGCATCACATGCATGATAACATATAGTCCATGTCCATTGCATATGCATTATAATTATATTTGTTGTTGTTTATTATGTTGTGGATGAGTTAAGAATGATAACAATGTGTAACTGTGAATGCTATATCTTTTTGTATGTATTATTTGTGTTTGATTAACCAATTTTCATTCTTGCACCATAAATTAGAGTGAGACATTTCTCACTCCCTTTTCTTTTGTATTGTCTTCTTGTGATTTTTGTAAGTAATCATCAGCATGGTGTTGAGGATATTATTAGTGATGAGGCTTAGTCTTGGACGTTAGGTTTTGCTCTAATAGAACACATGACACCGAAGATCAATTAGGATTTGGTTATAATATTTAAATTGAGTAGTTTATTTTCTTTCCCTTGTATTTTGTTATTTTCGCTAAGTCTAATTTGTGTTAAAATGTGATTCTTTCTACCTTATGAATTTTGAGTCTATTTATTTTATTGAGATATTTTACTTTTATATTATATTATGTGTTATGGTGTGTGAAGTAGAGGGTTTCACAATTAAAATGTAAAAATAACATCATAATTAACATTAAAAGTAAATTATAAATAGATAAATAAATTATATTTTTTTAATAAAATAGTACTATGTTAAAAAAAATATTTTTAAAAATAAGTACAATATTAAAAGTAATAAAAAAAATTAGTATATCAAAATTTAAAAAATATAATAGTAAGTTAGATGCAATTACTTTATTTATCTAAAATAATAATGTGTTGTTTAATTAAATTACGCACTTATGTAAAAATAATCTAACTATCTCAATTTAAAATATTTTTATTTCATTTTTTTTAATTTATTAATCATGTCGAGAGTAAATTAACTAGATTTATAGTAAAGATTAAAAGAATACTTAAAAAAAACATGTAAAGATCTCAAAATAAATAAAAAAAAATTATACCAGGTGTCATAGAAAATTATATCTATCATAGAAAATTCTTTCAACATCAGGTATCATTACATCAAACATAAAATATATTGGAAAGAGTCAACTTTGTTAACCCCGGCCTTTCTACAACAGGTGTAATGACTCCAAACATAAAAACAACTTTTTATGATGGGTGAAACAACACCTAACATAAAAAAAATGCTTTAAAATTTCAAATTTGAAACCCAATTCACGTTCTATAGGCTTTGTAACATTGAACCCTTCTTTATTTTTTCTCTTCACAGGCCTTTAGAGTGTTTAAGAGTGTTGTGGATGAAGTTCCATCCTTCTTCGCGATTGACCTATGGAAAAGGAAAAGCAAGTTGTCGTGGTGGTGGGGTGCTACCTTGAAAGCTCAAAGGTTGCGAAATTCTCTTATCCTCCTTTTCATTTCTCTTATTTTCTTTCCACGGCTGAAATCCATGTAAGGGAAACTAAAACTTGAATTGTTGCTACATTTGAGTTGCATATGGTTGGATCATCATCAAAAATATGATTCATCACTGAGTTGGTTGAGTTAAGTAGATTGCATGCTGGGGTTGTGGATGTTCTTGAATGAGTTGGGTAAAAATGAGTGATCTTGATACTTTGATGGTTGCATGTGGTATTTTATGAAATTTATGAGTTGCATGTATAAATCTATCAGTGAAAATGAGTTGTAAATGGTGTTTAGGAAGAAATTTGAGAAGTGTAGGTAAGAAACAAATGGAAAACCATGAATATGCATAAAAACTCTACACTCAACGTTATAGTCATAGTTGAGTGCAGCAACTACAATGAAAAACTATGTTGGTAGAGATCCAGTGCTATAGCTACAGTGAGCACTATAGCTATGGGAAAAAATTGGGTTGGCAAGATCCAACACTATAGTCGCAATTGAGCGGTACAATTATGGGAAAAAATTGGGCTGACAAAAACCCAA